ATTGGTTATCTTGTTACTCATTATGCAGTACTCGGTACATGGTAATTGGTACTCAGTATTTGGTTTTGATACTCGGTACCCGGGAATCAGTAGTCAGCTTAATGAAGGTTGTAGTCCGAGTCTAGGTGAGTTTATTTGTAGTCTTTTCTTGTCCATTGGTTACCAGGTGACCGAGATATAAGCTAAAGAAATCCGAAACATCAATAATGACAAATGAAATACATGTGTGCAGTAAGTGAGTCTAAAGATAAAAGAATGAATATTAATAGTGAGACTTGCACATTATGTCGAGATATCCAACATAACAAGCCTGTGATGTGATCAGAGACCTGGAATAACACCCATATACATCCATTATAATAGCTTAAAAGCTTAGAAAGATTCATGAAGGATTGATGTAATGATAGGCAAAATGACATATGTGTGGAGAGTGACAATAGACATCTTTTATACAAAGTCACATTTATATATGATTCAGGCCGAAAATATCATTACAAATATGTAGGATAGATCGTAAACTACCCAAGGAACCCATACTGCCTACTGCCCTGAGGGTAGGGGGTGGGTAGAAGGGATATAGTGAAAATATGAGTTGACCCAGCATTAAAGTCCTACCACTGCTCAACTAACCATTTTCGATGCTTTGGGTCTTTGAAGTTTCCCACACTCAATTTCTTACCCATTTCACTTCCTCAGTACTCAATTCTTGGTTGATTTGTCTGTAAATTTATGTCTATGATACTTAAGATATTTGAAATGTACCCCAGGTTTCTGATTATGAAGATTCAATGTTTTGAAGGCATGGGCCCCTTATCAGGCGAAATGGCAAGTATACACACTAGCTCACAAACTCCAGCCTATTGTGAGCTGATCTTGGTCATAAGAAGCAAGAATATAAGCTATGCTCATTATATATTAAAAGGTTGGATCATGGATGCAAGGGCAAGATACTGAAAATCGTGAAAAAATGTCACAAGTGCAATTGTCTATGCTTTGTTCCTGGAAAAGGATCCTGTGTGTCCTGGGCTGGTTATATGATATATCTACTCTGAATATGCTCAGGAATAGACTCCCTACAGTCCTTGAGGTCCAGTCCTACAGGGAAAAAACCCCAGCAGGTGAACCACCAGAAGAGGGGGAGGTACACTATACAATAAAGGATTACCCTATGGTCCTGAGCTCCTGATACATTGTTTCTATTGTTGAATAGATGATTGAGATATAATTTCAAAGTCTATTCACCTAGAAATGAACACATAGGAACATATTTTGTATTTTTATGTATATATGCAATATCCATTTAAGCACCAAGTCTCAACTACCGATTACCAAGTCCCGACACTTGATAGTTGATAGTCAGTATTCGAGCTCCGAGTGCCAATATTGCCTACCAATATCTCAGTCAAATGATAACCAAACCAAGACCCAAGTTCCAAACCTGACTACTGAATACCAAGTATCAGTACTTGGGACTCGGGACTATTGGCTGGAGTACCCAACTATTGATTCACAGGTACCGAGAATTAGAACCAAGTACTGAGTACCTGACTACTGATTCTCGGGTACCAAGTATCAGAACCGAGTACCGAGTACCTGACTACTGATTCTCGGGTATTGAGTATCAGAACCAAATACCGAGTACTGATTCCCTTGTACCGAGTACCGAGTAACGAGATAACCAATTGACAAGAAAAAACTACCAATACACTCACCTTGGCTCGGACTACAACTTTTGTTCAGGAACTTAAACATAATAATAACTTTCATTTTTCATTATTGCCGATGTTTCAGATTTCTTTAGCTTATATCTCGGTTAAATGATAACTGATGGACAAGAAAAGACTACCAATACACTCCCCTAGACTCGGACTACAACCTTCGGTAAGGAAGTTAAGCGTAATAACAACTTTCATTTTTCATTACCATTTGCCTATATTGACTACCGACCAGTGGCTGAGTGCCGAAGCTTGAAACTTGAAATCGGTGGAAAATGAAATCTCGCAACAATGTACACATGAACATGTTTCATTTCCATAAACAATTCCCCAAGTGTCATGTACCGAGCCCCGAAACCCAAAGCCTGAAGCCCGGACTGTGTTGTCAGGTTAGTACAAGACACTCGGTGAATTGTCAAAGGAAATGAAACATTTTCATGTGTACATTGTCGCGAGATTTTGTTTTCCACTGATTTCAAGTTCCAAGCTTCAGCACTCAGCATCCAGCACTCGGAACTCGGAACTCGGCACTCAGGAACTCAGAACTCAGTGAAATGTCTAAGGAAATAGAAATTTCACAATTCCCTGAGTTAGTACAAGACACTCAGTGAATTGTCAAAGGAAATAAAACATTTTCATGTGTACATTGTTGCAAGATTTCGTTTTCCACTGATTTCAAGTTTTGAGCTTCAGCACTCGGCACTCAGAGCTCGGCGCTCGGAACTCGGAATTCGGCGCCCGGAACTCGGAACTCAGTGAAATGTCCAAGAAAATAGAAATTTCACAATTCCCCGAGTGTCGTGTACCGAGCCCTGAAGCCTGAAGCCCAGACTGTGTTGTCAGGTTAGTACAAGACACTCGGTGAATTGTCAAAGGAAATGAAACATCTTCATGTGTACATTGTTGCGAGATTTCATTTTCCACTGATTTCAAGTTTCAAGCTTCAGCACTAACCCGGAACTCGGGACTCGATTTTTGAGATGAAAGACATTTTTCAAACATGTTTGAATCAACCTTTCGTGTATCCATAAACATTTTACCAACTCCCGAACCCCGAAATTGTGGACTGCCGGGTCTCGGGGATCGGGGGTCAGGTGCTCAGGGACTTGGGAATTTGGGGAGATCAATAAAATTTGATCTACAATAAATTTGATTTACAAACAAATTGATTTACAAACTTTTGAAAGATATGTCGTCTCACATATCGAGTCCCGAGTTCCGGGACCCCCGAAACCCGAAACCCGAGACCTGGCAGTCCACAATTTCGGGGTTCGGGGGTGATCTACAATAAATTTGATTTACAAACAAATTGATTTACAAACTTTTGAAAGATATCTGTGTCGTCTCACATATTGAGTCCCGAGTTCCGGGACCCCCGAACCCCGAAATTGTGGACTGCCGGGTCTCGGGGGTCGGGGGTCGGCGCTCGGGACTTGGGAAATTTGGGGAGATCAATAAAATTTGATCTACAATAAATTTGATTTACAAACTTTTGAAAGATATCTGTGTTGTCTCACATATCAAGTCCCGAGTTCCGGGACCCCCAAACCCCGAAACCCGAGACCCGGCAGTCCACAATTTTGGGGTTCGGGGGTGGTAAAATGTCTATGGATATACAAAAGGTTGATTCAAACATGTTTGAAAGATGTCTTACCCGGAACTCGGGACTCAATTTTTGAGATGAAAGACATCTTTCAAACATGTTTGAATCAACCTTTCATATATCCATAAACATTTTACCAACCCCCGAACCCCAAAATTGTGGACTGCCGGGTCCCGGGTTTCGGGGTTCGGGGGTCCCGGAACTCGGAACTCGGTATGTGAGACAACAAAAATATATTTCAAACACAGGTAAGTCAATGTGTTTGTCAATCAACTTGATTGTAAATTATATTTTATTGATCTCCCCAAATCTCCCAAGTTCCGAGTTCCGAGTTCCGAGCTCCGGGACCCCCGAACCCCGAAACCCGACACCCGCCAGTCCACAATTTCGGGGTTCGGGAGTTGGTAAAATGTGTATGGATAGATGAAAGGTTAATCTAAACATTTTTGAAAGATGTCCCATATGAAATGTCAAGTCCCAAGTTTCGATTTCCAGGTTTCTGGAGTGCCGAGTCCCGAAGCCTGAAGTCCTGAAACCCGGAGTTCAAAACTCGGGACTTAACATTTCATATGGGACATCTTTCAAAAATGTTTAAATCAACCTTTCATCTATCCATACACATTTTACCAACTCCTGAACCCCGAAATTGTGGACTGTTGGGTTTGGGGGTTCGGGGTTTGGGGGTCCCAGAGCTCGGAACTCGGAACTTGGGAAATTAATAAAATATAATTTACAATCAAGTTGATTGACAAACACATTGACTTACCTGTGTTTGAAATATATTTTTGTTGTCTCACATACCGAGTTCCGAGTTCCGGGACCCCCGAACCCCGAAACCCGAGACCCGGCAGTCCACAATTTTGGGGTTCGGGGGTTGGTAAATCTCGGTTTGGGGTTTTGCACTGAAAATTTGACATTTATACGTATCTAGGCTCACCCATATATGTACCCATCTATGTACAATTCCCCCACGTCAGCCCACCCATCTATGTATTATCCCCCACGTCGGCCCACCCGTCTATGTAATACATCCTATGTTGGCCCACCCGTCTATATAATTATACCCCACCTCGGCCCACCTGTCTATGTAATAAATATTTTATCACACCCTCGGCCCACCCGTATATGTAATACTTTTTATGTCGGCCCACCTGTATATGTAATACACCCCGTGTCAGCCCACCCATCTATGTAATATTCCCTTACCTCGGCCCACCCATATATGTAATACACCCCCGTCGGCCCGCCCGTCTATATAACAATATTTGCCTTACATCTCTCTTCAGCCCAGCTGTCTATAATATCCTACTCTACATATTACCCTGATGGGCCCACCCATCTCCATGAATGATCATATTCCCCCGGCCCATCCGTCAACATCAAGGATATATATATCATTGGCATACATGGGCCCACCCGTCTCCATCGGAAATAATATGTGTCCCGGCCCATCCGTCATCATCGAGAATATACACAACATGGGCCCATAATCCGCTGGCCCGTCTCATACGGGATATTATGTAGGTCGGGTGGCCCGTATAATACGGAATTTGTCACTGAAGGGGCTCGTGTGCGCTGCTGTTACTAATGTGGTACTGATTAAATTAGCTGATAATGAAGCCACCAAGGATGCACACTTCCGAAAGTTCCGCCGCCAGCTTCTACACTCGTTGCTCGCAAAAATGCTTGAAACCCTCAAACCTGGCATGACCAAACCGGATGTTGTCCGTTGCCCTGATGGCCACTTTCGACGAGCTGTGTATGGTCTTGGACCATACATAGCTGACTATCCCGAGCAAGCACTGCTTGCATGTATTGTACAAAATTGGTGTCCAAAGTACGTGTTTGTCTTAGTATTCTTCGTGTCCCTATGCTAAGTAGGACTATGGTGCTATTAACTATTACTTACACCGGCAGATGCACTGCACCAGCAGATGGTCTCGATGAAGGCACATATGGCCAATGTTCCCGCGATCACACCGAAGTTTTGGTTGAGGAATTTGAACTAGGTGTTCTGTGGGATGAATACGGCCTTGTTGGAGACATTGTGGTGTGTACAATACTTTATCTACTCGTCTCTTTCCCATTTACACACAACTTGAACTTACACTATTCATACAGCCATTCACTAATTACTTTCCACACGCCGACATACACGAGCTCCTCTCCCCAGATATCTTACACCAGCTCATCAAGGGAGCATTCAAGGACCACCTAGTTAAGTGGGTGCACGACTACATTGAGGCTTGATATACAGAAGCCAATGCAAACAAGATACTGGACGACATTGACCATCGGTAAGTTTATCTTCAAATTCACTTGGCTGCTGCTGCTGCTGAACATGTGGCACACTACTAGCATCGCTCTAGCTCCGGTGTTTGCAGGCCTTCGACGATTTCCAGAGGGTAGAGGATTCAAACAGTGGACTGGTGACGACTCAAAAGCTCTCATGAAGGTCTGTACCGATATTCCTCTATTTTTCATAGCAACAGTACTAATATTTCTAATGCACATTTACTACACAGGTCTACATACCTGCTATCAAAGGTCACGTACCCACAGAAATGGTACAGGCTTTGCGAGCGTTACTCGACTTCATCTACATCGCTCATCGCAACATCATCAGCTCTAACAGCCTCGACGCAATGGATGACGCCTTGAAGCGTTTCCACAGGTACCGCGAGATATTCCAAACATCCGGTGTTTGACCCAAAGGATTTAATCTCCCTTGACAGCATTCACTCATCCATTACCATAAGCTCATTCAAGCGTTCGGCGCACCAAATGGGCTTTGTTTGTCTATTACAGAGTCCAAACACATTAAAGCTGTCAAGGAGCCATGGCGCCGGTCGAGTCGTTTCGAAGCTCTCAGTCAAATGTTACTTACCAATCAATGTCTCGACAAGCTAGCCGCTTCATGTGTTGATTTTACTGACCATGGGATGCTACGAGGGACGTGTTTGTCATACGTCCTCAACAAACTTGGTATGTGATTTTCATGATGCTGGGCTCGCCAACGCTAATCACCACCTTCACAATTTACAGGGATACTAAACACTCCATTGGAAGCACACATTGAACGAGATATCCCAGACCAGGATGAGCCTTTTGGACGCTACCATCATGCAACTAATGATGCCGAAGGTCATGCAGACGAGGATGAGGGTAACACCAACGCTGAGCCTGACACCAATGCCATTGATGGGCCAACAGTACTACTTGCCCATGTTGACCTGGCAAAGACAGCTGGTAAGTAGTTTTGTGCATACCTGCATGCTTCTGCTCACCATACACTTTACTACAGCCAAACGGATCTACCCAGAGCTCATTGCAAATCAGATAGGTCAACCCAACTTCACGACTTTGATTCAGCATTTTCTGCATGACCAATGTCGCTCTGACTCTGAATCATCTAGCTCTGACTCGTCCCGGTCTGCACTTCCTGAGATCTATGAAAAGATCACACTGTACACTTCAGCCGTGGCCACCTTCTTCGCTCCTAGTGATTTATCGGAAATTGGCGGTATGCGCTACGAGCGTATTCGTGCTGTAGATACCTGGAGAAATGGCCCTGGGCGCTATGATTGCGTCTTTGTTAGCACTGATTCAACTGCCGATGGCATGCGCAGCCTCGACATTGCTCGAGTGAGACTATTTTTTTCTTTGAAGCATGATGGTATCACGTACCCTTGTGCACTTGTACAGTGGTTCAAACGTGTGGCTGACTCCCCAGATGAAATTACGGGAATGTGGGTTGTAGAGCCGGAGCTTCTTGAAGATGGAGCACGCTGTGCGTCTGTCATCCACCTTGATTGTATATTTCGTGCAGCCCACCTTATACCAGTATTTGGGGGTGACTTTGTGCCAACCAATCTCACTTACTCGCAGACACTCAATGCTTTTTTCACTTATTATGTCAACAATTTCATTGATCACCATGCATATGAGATTGCATTTTGACTTATCTTAGTACTTATTATTGTTTAGCTGAAATCAACTTATGTTTTCCGCTTAGTAATGATGCTCTGAGTGAGTCTGCTTCTTAGTAGACCTCAAATTTCACTTATTATCACCTGCCTACTTAAAATTCTGAATTACACTTGATTTGCAGCATTAGCTTTATTTCTTTCTTGTATTTCCTTTGTGAAAAATTCTCTAAGTAGAAATTAAGTAGAAATGGTCTTCTTAGATAACTTGGTGCACTTAGTATTGTTTCAAGTAAAAATAAGTAAGATAAGTTGGCTAAGAATTTTCATGATTTTGCTGATGGCCCTGGATGCACTTATGTCCCTTACTTAACCTCACCATGTATGCCAGGTACTACCGTATTCTAGTTGTTCACGAGTTTACAATATAGTGCATTTCCACTGACAAATGTGAATGTCTGATGAGTACCCAACACCAATGAGTGCCCAATGAGTGCCCATGTCATTTCTCTCGTGCTAAAAGTTCACATTTTATGTACCCCATTTTAACTTGCAAAAAATTTGATTATTCTGCAATCGGAAAATGTCCCTAGTTACATGATATTCTGAGGAAAACTTTCCTGCGCTCAAAACTTTGTAATTTATAGCGCTTAAAATGGTACATAAAATGTAGAATTTCGCCTGGGATTTTGGCACACATCCAAATTTTTTATCTTTACTGGGTCAAAATGTATTGTAAAAACGCTAACTTTATCACTGACATTTTGAAACCAATCTCACATAGTGGAAAACTCCCAAACCGCCCGTGTGTGACTAATTATGTGTTTCACGTATCTGCAATAGTTCACGGGATATTGCGGTTCAAGTCACGTACTTTTGTCGAGCGTTTTACAACGGTTTTACCGTCACGTGACCTCCGGGTTCGGCCGGATTCTGGTTCGTTTTGCAAATTTTGTCGTCGCCATCGTCAACTGTTTCACGCTGCTGTGTTGCCGGGCGAGGTTTTCACGAAGGGGGGCGACGGCACGTGTGGATGCAAAACAAATCAAAATTCAATTTACGGTGCGAAGTTTGAATGTACGAATAGTGTTGTGTCTGGGAAGTGGAAAAATACAGATAAAAGAAAGATACAGAGTCGAACTGAGCGGTTGTGTCGTGCCAGCGACGTGCGGGAAGGTCATGTCGTGCCCAGCGACCCAGCGAGTGTGACGTGCTACAGAGATGTGCATGGACAGGAGAGTGGAAAAATACAGATATGCAAAAGAAAGATACAGAGTTGATACAGAGTTGAACTGAGTGTGCGGGAAAGTCGAGTTGTGCCAGCGACAGTGAGTGTGACGTGCTACAGAGATTGTGCATGGACAGGGGGTACTAATAGACTGACTCGGATGTGTGACTTTGATTGAGAAAAATGTTATGCGAGGGTGCGATGGTGAGATGGAAAATGGACGACACACAGCATGTCCAGGATGCGAGTCGGTTGAAATGTGCACTGACCTGAAGGAGTTTCATTGATGGACAAAACAATATGGAAGAGAACAGAAGAGTATCACTGAGGATGCATCAGGCTGGTGTTGGTGGTCGCGACTGTAGCACCATGACGGTCTTTTGGGTGGCCATTCTTGCTCTTCCGACCAATTACCTCGCCGCGCTCCTCGCGCTTGCGCTGGATCACGTCAAACAGCGGTTTTGCGCCGCGGCTTGCCTCTGGGTAGGCCACCAGGAATGCCGACTCATCCCTCCCCATCCTAGTCCAGTAGCACTCGCTGTTTAGCTAGACCATATGTAGTTAGAGCTAAAGTCAAACTCACCGGTGGAACTCAAGTGCAATCACTTTGCGCATGTTGCGCTTTGTGCCAGTGATGGTACGCATCATGCCAGAGTACCAGTCCTCTGGCCAGTCCTTCAGTGCCTTGCTGCCAATGAAGGCAGCTGGATCTTCCCATTGCTTGACAGCTGCACGCCATGCATCAGGGCCACGTGGTAGGTCAGGAATACCAACACCTGGAATAGGTGCAGCCTTGGCTGCACCACTGTGGGCTGGTGGGACGACAGGCATCAAACATGCCGGAGGAGGTTCTGTAACTTCGACTCGATTTGACTGGAGGCTTGGAGTAGTAGGCAGGGGCGGAGTGCTGTTGGCAGAAGAGGGTGCTTGAGACGAGGGAGTTATCAAAGTTGGTATTCGAGACAAGGGAATTGTCAAAGAGGGGGGTGGAGACAGGGAGGAGCAGCAGGATGGTGATACTGAGGCAAGTGCAAGCTTGTCCAATACAGCCCTAACTTTGCCAGACAGGGAATCTAGCTGACGGTCAAAGGACATCTTCAGCTCGCGAGTTTTGGCAGCAGTGACAGGTGCTGTGAGAATGTGGTCCCCATTGAAGCTTCTCTCCGCCTCACGTGGAATTGGACACAAGGCATCACGATGGTTCTTCTCATAGCGGGTGAGTTCGTCCAAGAGGTAGCGAATCAGGGTGTCAACCTATGCTACTGTGTGAGGCCAGGCAAAATACATCAAACACTATGCACTCACACTCTCTCCTTCTGCCCATGCCCCCCACCACCTTATTGTTGCCAGTGACCAGCACTGACTGAGTGGTGCAAACATAAATCGGTACCTTGCACCACCTTGACGAAAGCAGTGACTAGTGTACCTAGATGTCAGCACTGCCTCTGTGCAGATCCATGTGAGCATCTTCATCACGGCATCGTATGACAGCTCATCAGTTGGGTAGATGACACCATTGGTGCCTACATGAGGGAACACGAACTCATCGGATTGCAATGGACGTCGGAGCAGGACCTCCTCCAAGAATCTGACCCAGGCACGTAAATGGGTGAACATGCAGATCTCTGGGGTATGTGACTGGGCATAGACTTCGTATTCATGACCTAGTAGTAGGATACTGTGTTAGTAGTGTATCGAAAATGCAGGTCAGCAATGTGTGTGGAGATACCTTCAAGTGCACCATCAGTCTCCCCCTTTCGCTGCCAGCCCTTACGATTGAGTAGGCTGATGAGGTCAAAAGGGATGCCATAGGGCGGTCGTCCCTGGCAGTTCCAGACAATGTCCCTGCGTCTGATCTTCGTAAGCTCAAAATTCCTTGTGTGGCATGGTGGTTAGCAAAAGATCTTGAATCAACAGTGAGGACTGACCTTGTCCAGATAGTAAATCCAGTTGTTGAGAAGGCTCGTACCATCAGATGGCGCTGAGCCAGAACCACATCTGCTATGTCAAGCACTTCCCCTGCCTGAAGGCACTGATAAATCTGGCTCACGAGCTCGTTAGAACATTCATCATAGGACCAGGACATGAGCTTTTGCATGTCCTCGATTGTCATTGCAGATGCATGGTTTCTCATGCCACCTTCAGTGCCCTCGTTATTCTTCAGAATCTCCATCATATCTTGTACTGCAGCTGATAAGGCAGGGTTTCCCATAACAACTCCAGTCACTTCATTGCAGTGGTATGGCCCACGGAATGTCTCGCCCTTACTGTACGCAGCATGTTGCAGCCATTCTGAGTGACCGAGAATCAGGATACTGCAAGCAGGAAGCACTCACACATTCCACCATAGATCCTTGAATGCCGAGAACACACCCCACATTGTGCTTATCCCCCTCCCCTCTGTCAGACCCTTCTGAACGAGGAATAATTCCAGTGCGGGAGCAGAGTATTGATTTGGAATGGGATCAAATGCACGGCTGTAGGTCTCAATGTCATCGTCTGAGTTGCATTCTGGGCCCAGTGACTGAGCACTTTTGCTGTCTGCATGAGCCTTGCGCTTCTGCTCAACCACATCTTTCAGGAATCGACGGCCACGATCCAGATGGCCACTATATTGAGAGCGTGTCCCCTTTGCCTTCAGCAGGGACTGTCATGCTTCCTCCCGCTGCACTTCTAGAGTGGAGGTTGATGCAGTAGCAGCCTTCCGCCCTGGATTCTTGATGGAAGCTGTGATCTTTTTCGTTGTTCCGCGACCCATCTGTTAGCATGCCATATAACCTGTGGCCTAGGAATTAAATAAAAGTACAATCGATGAGAGTGAGAGCATGTCAATGGTGGTGGCAAAACTGCACTAAAAGGGGTCAACGGTTAAAACCAGCTTCACATTGAGGAGCCTGCCTCCATCCTTTCTCATCAACGTATAACAATAAGCATGGTAAGAGATTTACTGGACAATTCTTCGCCGGAAGCTCAATAAACCAGTACAGCCACAGTCATTCGAGGAACGTCTCACTAAAGCCCTGCTACAGCCATCCGAAGACCATCCTGAAGTACGCATCGGTAGCCGTTCTACCTTGGAGTCATTGGTCACTCATACCAGCATACTACATGAGGCTGACGTTGTCCACTTTGCCAAAGTCGGCTTCGATGCATCAGTCGGAACCCTCGCAAAGCAGCTTGGATTTCAGGGAGACGTCGTCAAGACTGTTTACAGTCACCTCACTACCTATGAGCAGACAGTGCAGGTTATGGAATCAATGCAGCAAGCGGCTGAGGAACGTGCTGTTGCCGAGATTTCGAGCAGAAATGAAGAGAGTGATGATGAGGAGAGCGTGAAGGAGGAGAGCAGTGATGAGGAGAGCGTGAAGGAGGAGAGCGTTTACCAGGAGAGCATGAAGGAGGAGAGTGGTTGCGAACAGCACAAGGATATCAAAGAGGAGTAGCAGTGTATTGACAGTTGACAAGCAATAGTAACAAGTGCTCAGGCGGGCGAAATAATACTGGATTCAACCTTGTCCTGCATTAGAACCAATGGTGCGTGCAATGCGATTAGGCTCCCGATCAAGCAAATCGATACCTCAATGTCCTCAAGTATTCCACTTCCTGCGCTTGGTGAGTTCCTTCTCCCTCTCCTTCTCACTACGTTTAATCTTGCCGTCGCTGTGATAGTTGAGCAGTGGTGCAAACCATTGTAATTGATCCATTGCTCTGGCGCCAGATGCAAGGAATCCTTCAAGCGATGAGTGAAATTTCAGATACTACACGACCAGACACGCACCTGATCCTCGCATTCAGAGTCAATAGTGTTAATTGAAACACTGGCTTGCATTGCATTGTAAGACTTCGCAACGTAGGTATCGAGATCCATGGAAATGAGTGTATGCCGCATGGGAGCCTCTTCCTCAATCTCTTCAATCCTGGATAAGATAAGCCTTACAGTCTCTAGCAGTATACAATGTGGCTAACCTGTGATGGACCATGACCGTAAAAGGGAAGGTTGCCTCGCAAACATCTGTTATGGAGTGAGCGCTGCATATACAAACTGTGATCAGAGACCACAAACTGTGTTCAGTGAATGTCAACACCAAGTCATGGCCAATCCGTCAAAGGAGGGCCACCAACGCATCATTGGGCTGTACTTGGTTGATCCAAGTATTGTACACAAAGTGTGAAGAGGTGGCGTTGGCGGATGATAAATATATGGCTGCGACTGCTTGTTCAAAGTGCCGATGAAGAGCACTACATTTTGTTAGGAATGCAGGTCAAATGTGCGACACATCAGGACTCACGAGTGACAACATCGAAAACAACCAGCCTTTGCTGCCTTTTGGCCTGGGCTCTTCATCAAGGTACACAATCTGTAGATCTGGATATGCGCACAGCAAGAACTCAGCATTCTCCTGCTCCTCCTTGTTGAACTTTGAGAACTGCTGCATGGAGATGGCGAACTTGAACTTGCAGCGTGCCATCCTCTCAAGCTCCCACTCGAGCTTCTCTGTGTTGCCCCCAAACATGGACACGATGGCGAGATTCTCAATGCGGTAGAGAAGCTTAATAATTCATCATGCCAGAGACAGTGTGACCTCCATCTCGGCAGTGGCGAGGAGTTTGGTGTAGATGCGCTTAGGAAGGCGGGTGTACACATCTTTCCAAGGCATCCAGATTGACAGGCCAAGTGAGAAAGAGTGAGCAACAGAGAAAACGACAACCCGGATGATGTACCACAAGTATGTGTCAAGGAAGAACATAATTAAGTCCATGATATACATGATAGCCAACGTGAAGGGGGACCTGATCCGCAGCAATTCTGGATCGGCTTGGACTGCAATCATACCACGGGGGCTTCTTCCGTTTGAATGGAGGACGAGGAAGTAAGAACTTTTGGCTCTGGATGCATCTGCACTGCACATGCTGTTGTGTGCTCCACAGCGTCATGTTGTGCATATACTTGGCGTGTCTCGATATCTGAGGGCTTGTATGATGGGTCCATCTTTTGGTAGCGTTAGCAAACATAATCGAGCTGTGTAGTCGAGCAAACATACCTCTAAGACGCAATACTTTCCTGCCTGGAAATGGTCGACTGAGTGAAAAGTGGCCGTGGTCGGTGTGAGGCCAGAGTCCGAATTGTTGAGCGAAGACCACCAGCCTGTCTCTTGTTATTGTTGCTCAAAGCCCTCCTCAGCAGTCATCTCTAACGAGGGCTTTTGTGACAACAGTTCGGTACCATAGGCAGGGGCGTAGCCATTTGCTGTTGAATGCCCATTCATTCCCAAGCCATGTGCAGAGGATGGGCAAGCAGGTCATGGTGGGTGCAAATGCACAATCAAGGGATGTGCTGGCGACGGCTGCCGTGTTGAAAGAGCGTGATGGCCTGAAATACACGATGAAGAGAAGAGTATGCAAGACAAATGTAAAATACCATACCTTGATCAATAGCAGAAAATGAACAATTTCTGAATCCTGGTCCATGTACATGGATGCAACATCAAATGCTGCCCTCGCATCCAGGATGCAGCCTTTTCCACAGAGGGCAATACCCTTGGAGATATAGCCCATCAATGAGGGCTGAATCCTGATGGACTATGTCACTGTCGAGTTTGCTCTGTATAAGGCAGCGATGATTCTCACCTTGATTGCGTCCAGGAGGGCACGGTCCCAGTCGCATTTTCGCGCCATGACGAATGACCAATGGGCGTAGAAAGTATGGTCGTTCAGACTGGTGTTGATATCTTGAGTGAGTAGTCCTTCGGCGGTAGATAAGTCTCCATTTACACAAGCAATATGGGAGGTCGTGATGGCTAGGATCTGCAGGAAACATGCTCTAATTGTGGTACATGAGTCAAGAACAGAAACATGACTTTGAGCAATGGACGTAGGGAATATGGTTGTTCGCATCGGTATTGATATCTTGCATGAGTAATTCTTCGTCAGTAGATAAATCACCATCTATGCATGCATCGCAGGCTGTTGTTGCGGCAATAGTCTGCAAGAAGCATGCTTGATTTGTGGTAGATGAGTCAGAGACGCAGACATGCTGTCCACGGAGAAAGTGACGCATAACGTGTCGAATGAGTGCTCGAAGATGGCAATGGTTCGTCGATCTGAGAGCTGCCAGAAACGAACATGGTTGTCACTAGATGCGGAGGCGACGAGTTTGCCAGCAGGATGAATGACAATGGAATTGATACGATTAATGTGGCCTGTCCAGGGATCACCGACCTGCTTCCAGGTTGTTGTATCCCATTCGTGTATAGTAGGATCTTCCCTATCGCCACAGGTGAGAAGGCGTGTGCCATCGGGCGTCCATGCGAGTGACAAGTTCAATGTTGTGTGAGCAAGATGCACTGAAGATGGCGGAGCTGTCAGAGCTGTTGGATGTGGTTGAGAACAACTAAGGGCAGGGCATATTAACTTACTGTTCACTAAGGCAAGAACATGCTGCAGCTAGTGCTGCCGCGGTCCGGTTCCGTTCGGTTCAGAGGTGGTTGGACGAGAACCAAAAACCGGACCAAGGTTCGGTTCTAGTTATTTCAACGAACCTTAGACCGAACCTTTGCGAACGGTTCGCAGCGGTCAGGTTCAGTTTTTTCTCGGTCTGAACGCAAACCGAACGCAAAAAAATTACAGCCAGGAAAAAAAAACATAGGCAAGATATTTGTACTCGTAGTTACATGTCCAATGAAGCCGCATGTCCCTCAGCCTCTACTCCTGCAGAAAGATGCCCATTCCTATATGCTCCCTTCAGTAGTTGTAGTGCAGTGAACGTGTCAGTCACGAGTGCATTGCGTCGGATAGTCGAAGTGATTCCTCCGCTTGAGAATGCTTGTTCGGAAGGAACGGAGCTGCCTTGAATGGGTAGATAGTCTCGCGCGATGCGCGCGAGTGTAGGGTATTGCAGCGAGTGAAGCTATTCAGTAGATTTAGTAGCGAAAAAACAAGTCAAAAAGAAAACTTACCCCCCACCAGGCCACAATGTCATCAGTCTCCTCTAGTGGCGAAGACAAGTACATGTTGAGCTCTTGACGAGGATTGTGAGTAAGGTGGTCTGATGTCTTACGCGTCCTAATAGCCTCACACATCCAATCGTCACCATAGTGCTTGCGTACACTGGCAGCTCTCGTCGGCGGAGCGGATTGCTCATTGGTAGTAGGTGTTCGACTCGGCGGTGTATAATAGTCATCGAACTACAAAAAAAAAAAGATTAGAGCAGGAAAACAACATAGACGAGAGAATGTTTGTCGTCGCGAGTGAAGATTGTTCGAATATCAGCGCTGCGCTCACTCTTTGATAAAGCGGCTCGGATGGTGGTGTCTTGAAGATCCTCGGGTTCGTCCTCAGGTTCGTCCTCAGGTGCTGGTACATCTTCGTCCTCGGCCTCATCTGATTGACCAGCACCATGGTCAGTATCAATATCCGTGTCGTCATCAGATAATGGAGCGGAGAGCTGTAACACAACCTTCTTCCTAACTAGTTGCTCGGTTGCACTAGATAATGCGCGCTTGCGGCTTGTTGAAGAACAAGCGTTGTCAGAATCACGAAGGCGAGCAGAAGGTTTAGAGGTGCGAATGGAGCGTCGAGCACCTGCAGTAAGTGGCACTGGTTTGTGTCCAGTCTGCAGTAGCACAGAGAAGGCGTCTGTGGGTGGCTGGGCAGAGGAGGATGGAGCGGAAATGGGGACGGCATCATCAGGATCGTTGTAAAAAACAATGTCTTTGGCGTCCTTTAGAGACCCGTCTGGGTTGAGGGCACACTGTGCTTCAGGTTCAGACATTGTACCGGTAGTCAAAATATATCACTCACCTTGCTCCCTTTATATGTGAATACCCAATCTCCTACTAACTCATAGTATGCGTTGAAGGATCCTAAGAAATATAATATGTCAATCAGTTTATTGCGCTTGATTTGACGGAAAAGTCATACCTTGAGCTTGATTGAACAGGTAGGCGTTATCGGACAGCAGGGTGTGCGGGATGCGAGCCTCCGGACAGGATAAGTCGAAAAAAGTCTTGAGAATGCCAAAGGTCAAAGTGACCATGGCGAATCTTGAGGATCGAGAAGTCAAAATGACCATAAGCGTGTGATTGAGCCTTGAAGGTGTTGCAAGGAAGATTCGGTTCGGGGTTCGGAACGGTTCGGGAAGGTCCGAACCTATAGATGAACCGCACAGGAGTTAGCGGACCACGAACCTCATTCCGGTTCGGTCCGTGCAAAATGCTGGACCATGGACCGAACCAAGGACGAACCTGACCAATGGTCAGGTTCGAACCACGGTTCGGAACTGGACCACGGCAGCACTAGCTGCAGCGTGATGTTAGCCGCAAATGTATCCAGAGTACCATAGAACTGAGTTGCATGGAGTGGTGTCGGTGTTGAACAAACCGTGCGGCTAGATCTAGATAGTGCTAGTGCGGGACAAAGAGCAATGCAATTGTGACAAACGGTCACGCTGCCTCATTAGGGCAGCGCGGGACTGGTCTAAGTTGAGGCGTGTTGCAACATTTAATGAAAGGGTAAGAACTACACACCTCTAGGAACATCTGGAGTAGCAGAGACCATAGTGAGAATGTAAGGCTACAGTTAAAGCAAAATTTGGAGGGAAGGGAACCAGAAATACGATTTTTCGCCGCACTGCACGCTGCATTTTTCAAGAAAAGAACGGAAAAGTGGTGGTAAAGTACCCGCCGCACTTTATTTTACCGTAAAATCTTGGGATTTTACGGGTGGCTGAGAGCTCTGGCGGCAGAATTTTACATGGATGGGGCGGGCGGGCGCACTCGCTCATTTTTGCCATACAATTAAGCAAATTTAAACATGTATATTGCACGGGTGCACGTATATACAGCTATACATTATAGACAGAGAAAAAAGCACAAACCTTGCCTTCTTTCTGCGTGTGCGCACGCGAAATTTCGACAGAATCGCGTCGCAACAACTTGAACAGCTTTGATGGACGCGACATGACGACACAAGAGGCCCGGCGAGCTCTGTCGAGCTCTGTCGGTGAGTGGTTTCTGTGCTTACGAGTAATCCTCAAGTGCAGGTACAGCAGCGCATCCTGTAATGCGAAGACGACGGAACGGGAGCTGCAGATCTGCACGTTGAGCGTTAGTACTGGTAAGCGAGACGCGCCGGGTCGCGGATTCGTCAGCGAGGTCACGTGCTTTGATGTTTTACGTGCCTGTGGTAAAATGAGGCAATAAAACCAACTTATGCACGAAGGAAGCTACCACCACGTGTGCAATGTGCATATATATACATTTTGTGTATGCTTGGAACGACGGGCGATGTCCATATCTAACGCGGTACTGCAACTTCGTTCCGCTACGTTGGACTTGTGCATTTCCATGACGGGACCTTCCTCAGACACTTTGGCTCAATTTCTACTTGACAACCAAGGCCAGCGATGCGTGGTTGTTCTAGACGTATGTTCCCGGCCTTTTTCCACGACACTGGCTCACTTCCAGTGTAGATCCAAAGGCATTTGCTCTTCTCTCATGCCTTGAGCAAGCCCATATACCGTTGTGAATACGACCGACAGTTGTTCACTCTTTGTTGGCACATTCATGTTCACCTTCTCTTCCGACCGCAATCCACATGTTTCTGTTGGCATCGTCGCATTCGGTACAATGGCATGTGCATATACTTGCTCTTTTCCCGTTCAAACGAGTGAACTCCCAAGATGTACTTCTTTGCTACACTTTGTGCGATGCCGATGGACGCATGGTACTGAGCCTTACTGACCAGAAGTGGGTCTTTTGTTCTGCGCATCTAAGAGCATCCACTTTCAGAAACTCCTCAAGTGGTCTGTTCTTGCTGCGCACGCCACCTTCATACTGAAGACAGACCCAGGCGAGGACCCAGGTAAACGATTCAGCATCATACGCATACACATGCTCGACCTTGCCTGCCATGGCTTCTGGCGAGGGAAGGTTTACCGCCATGAATGGTACCGCTCCTGTGCGCTCGAGGCCGCTAGGACTGTCTCGTTGACAACGCCTATGAATTGACCATGTAAGCGGTATCCCATGATATTGTTGAGACTGACGTTGCAGTGATGTACACCCCTTTCCCAGAGGGCACGATGGCCTGTCAGAATATTGAATGCATGTACAAAGAGCACGAGGATGAAAGAATACCTACACGTTACCATTTGCCACCACACGGCGAGGAACTCCCTCTCGGTGAGCATCGTCACAGGGAGAAGCTTTTTGAAGATCGTGATGCACAGGGCGCGTTGCTCCGTTCAGCGTCCTTGAGTCCTAGTGTGTGCCTGATTTTGCCGGTCGAACCAGATCATCTCCGTATCAGCATGCCAGTGGCCTAGCACCTCTAATTGATTTTTTTTGGCAATCTTGTAGACTTCATCGAGGATCTGAGGCTCTCTCTAGTGTCTCTCCTGGCCAATAGAGAGATTTTTCATGTGTATTTCCGTGCTGAGCGACCGCCGACAGTGTGCATATTCGCATGACGGGAGGGAGGGTTTGGGAGGTTTGCGCTTTGATTGGAGAACTGCAAGGAAAATGAACTCCATTATAAGGAGATGGTGTCGTGGATGCCCACGGAGATCAATCAGAAGATGGAGTTGTGTGGTTGCGCTTAGATGAGATTGAGTTGTATAAAGCCGGAACCATGCTCAGGAATCGCACTCCCCTATATCTCACTATCATGATGTATGAAACCGAAAAAAAATGCGATACCCAATGTTCGGCGCTAAGCTGAAGCAGCGTACATTGTGGATATGTTCAGATATTTGCGAGGTACCGAAAGTCGTGCGATGGGCAGAGCGAGAGGGGTTAAAGAAGAAGCTTGATCATAATGCGAAGAATGATTCAACGACGGGGGACGAAGCATACCAAACAATTTTCAACCGACACGTTATGCAATGTCGGGAGCGAGATATGCGAACATGTATGAATACGGAGCATGATGGTGGCGAATAGCAAAATGGTGGGGCAATCATGAAGGATGTTGAAGGCACCCGCAAACACGGAGAGTACATCACCAACTTATGGGTGTAGATCCGCCTAACAGTTCAGGAGACATAAGATTTGACCGTTCTCCCGAGCTCTCCTTGGTCGAGGAGACGATGGCTCGGATCCTATGGATGGACAAGCAACAACATCTGTTGAGTGGGCCTTGCCTGCAGAAGTGGATCAGCGCCTCTTGTGTGGTGATCGACAAGTCGCAAGTCTCAGCGCACTACCATTTGACACGACATTTGTCCCATGAGCTCCGATGTGTAACCTTGAGGACTACAGGAAAGTGATTCTAAGGCTCACTGAGGGAGCAGCTGGGTCCTCTTCTCCCACTTTTACTCCATACAAGATCGCACAGCCCGGCTGTGGAATGCAGACGGTGACTTCTGATAAGACATCCTGAATCAGATCCCTCGGTTATTCGTGTATTCAAGCTCAGGAATAAACAGAAGTGTTCGACAAAATGGAAGTTTAGAATCTGTAAATCAGAAACGGAGGCAAAGGCTGCCGATCAGTAAAATTCTTCTGCAAAATTTTCCTGTGCGACGCGCGGGACGCGCGAACGTCAAGACGGACCAATAAAAATGTTCATCACTTAAGGAAATCGCACCCGATAGATGCCAAATGCAACAACCACAGCATAATTCGAGGATGAGTGATTTCGATGCTCCCTGGGTCCTCGTCTCATACTATGTTATAGAAAAGATTGCGCAGTGACTCCAGTTGTTCGGATGCAGAGAGAGATAGCTGAAAAGAACATGGAGAAAGACCATCAGATTCCTTGATTACTCGGGTGTTCAGGGGGACTACTGAAAGTGACTTGTCGTCCGAAGGTTTGAAATTTGGAAATCAAAATGGAGGTAAAGGGCCGCCGTGAAGGTGACAGCTGTACAGCCTATGGTTCTTCAACGCGCCCACAAGCCACTCCTTTGTGGAGTGCCAGCCTGAGAATCCCATGTGCCTCTGTACGAGGTAAAACTTTATACCATAGCAAACCTTGTTTATTGAGATTGCGACCGGTACGTTTTGGATACATGCCAAAGAAAACAAGAGGGAAATCTAGGGATACCGTATGATTTCGAAGATTTGTACTCAACGTCGAAGGTGATTACATAATTGTCGTTGTCACGAACTCGGTAGCGTAGTCAATTTATCGTTTACTGAACCGTGAGTCTGGCTCTGCCATCAACTTCGTTCAACCTACTTATCGATTATCAATTGTGGACCTTGACTTGAAATATCTAATAATGGTGTTTTGCTAGTTTAAAAGCTAGCTCAGGTTTGCGTATTCTGATTCTCAACCCACTTTCTTTTCTACCTGAGCCTCATCATCATGGCCGGCAATGCTGACGCCACCGTACACAAGACACCTCCCCGTAACTCTACCCTGTCTGCCGATTCGGAGGCTGGGCTCAAGTCCACACCACTCGCAGTCGGTTCTGCTGCTGTCAGCGAACATATCAGTACTGTTGGCGTTGAGTACGTCAATTTTTCCTTTTGTTCTCGCCACCATCACCCATATCAGTGAATTTTGCAGAGTCAATGATGTCCGCCCATGGATCGCGAGGGACGTCCAAAACTTTGAGAAGTGTAAGGCAGATACGATACTGCAAGAACTCCTTGCAAGATGCACAGGTTCCTCTCAAAACCTTTCTGTCAGCGAGAAATCGAAGCTACTCGAAACTGCCCTCAATGCTGTTCTGCCTATCTGCAATGTGGGGGCTGTAGCGCAGGAGATAAAGGGACACCTGACTAATTTGTAAGTCAGCATTTCGAGCAGTGCGAAAGAAGACTGACGTTATTGTCAAGTTGTGATATCGAGCGCGAACCATCGACATATGCTCCTTTCGTCAAAGCCGCCAACCGTGCGCTCCGTGAACTAAGCAAGGTGAATGTAGATGGAATACCTGCGTTCAAGGTCGACGACAAGACCAACGTTCTACTTCATGTCAATGATCCAAAGCCCATATACCAGGACCACCAGGACAAACAGTCCGAACGCAAGCCTGACGTTGTCGTTGTCTCTCATCAAACTGCCCTGGGCAAGAAAGCACACGAAACGCAAGAATCCCAGGTTCTTACCGAGACGACGTGCAAATCGCCCAAAGACAACTTTCAATGGACTGATGTTCGCTCGACATTGGAGTTGAAACGCACCCGGAAGTCTCTGACCCATCCGCCGTCCGTTTATAAGACAGATTATGTCGTTCCTTCTCCTTCTGCGCAGTATATGGAATATAAGAAGGACGCGAGCGGCCCTGCTAAGCCAACAGGTTCAACACCTGCTACTGGGTCTGCTCAGACCCCCCACGAAGCATCGAATGAGCGTAAGCTGTAGTATGTCCGTCTTCTACTTTCTTACTGACATGTGCGAGGTAGTAAGACCCTCGTCGCAATTGAGCAGAGGAGTCAAGCGCAAGCGAGGCGGCAACGCTGAAGATCGGACTGAAGAGAAGGAGCCGATAAAACCCCATCCTATCGTCCAGAACGGCCTCTACGTTGCAGAGATGTTCGCGGCTCATATCGCGCGGCAACACGTCATCTCTTTTATAGTGAACAGTAAGTTGATAGGATGCTGTAACCTGGCATCGAACTGACAACTCCTTCCAGACGACTATATTTACATCTGGTTTTGTGATCGTGAAACCACGATTCAAGGTGCTGCCATCAACTTCGTTCAGGACCTTCCACGCTGGCTGGTCTTGCTTCTCATCATGCAGCGGATGGGATACGAGCAGTGGGGCCTTAACCGCGTGTTTGAGCCTGAGCCCGGATTTTCGGGCAAGGTGATGATTGAGGATGCCCAAATTGACCTTGAGTTGGATGTGAAGTCTAAGGAGCGCGTGACTCATTTCGGTATACGCGGACGTGCAACTACCGTATTTCCGGTAAAGAGCGAGGCACTATCAGGTCTGCAGCGGGACCCCTGTTTTCTGAACGAATCCCCTGAACTGGTGGCCAAGCTCTATTGGCCAGAAGAGACGCGTCAGAGCGAGCCAGACATTCTGAACGAGGTCTACAAGATTGCACAAACAGATCCAGATGTGCGAGGCCACGTTCCAGAGCTGGTCTGGTTCCACAAGTTTGAAGAAACATCCACGTCCAAAATCCGAGTCGCACTAGGACTGAAGGACGCTGAACGGGCCGAACAGGGCAGCCGTATCCTGTACATCATCGTATTCAGAAAGCTTATCCCAATCACGACGCTTTCTGGCGAGGAGTTCATTGCCGCATGGTGGCAAGTTGTGAAGTGTAAGTTTTTTTTCCCTCTTCTCCTGCTCTTCATCATTCATCCACGACTCGACAGGCCATCGCGCCCTCTGGAAAGGAGGCGTGCTTCATCGGGACGTCAGCCCCAGCAATCTCATGGTGTACCGCTTACGCGGTCAATTCATAGGCGTTCTCAACGACTACGACTTATCGTCGTTTAAACGCGATGGTCCCAGGGGCCTCGAGCGTACAGGAACGGTACCATTCATGGCGGCAGACCTTCTCACGCCAGACGGCGTAGCAGGCAAGGTCGAGCATGTGTATGCGCATGATGCTGAATCGCTGATCTGGGTCCTCACCTGGGTCTGTCTTCGGTATGAAGGTGGAAACCTCCTCAGCAAGAACAGACCATTGGAAGAATGGCTGAAAGTGGATGCTTCTATGTGCGCAGACAAAAAGGCCGGCTTTTGGTCGATACAGATCAGAAACGTGTGTCCATCCACATCGCACGCAGAGTCCTGGGATCTTGTAAACAAGTGCTTTGATGGGATCCACTCGATTTACCTTCCATCAGGGTACCGCAAACTCACCGATGAATCGGCTTTTCAGTTGTTACTTGAGGGGCCTATGCTAGAGCATGAGAGTCGTAGGCGTACTTATAGTTGAGGTAGCGTGCCTCTCTTACAAATCGCTTTGTAGAATCAATAGTCGTAGGTAGACTCGTGACCAGTCTGTCTAATCGACGGCTTGCCTCATTAGACAGACTGGTAAATCTGGGTTTGAATTTGGATAGTGCGCGGGTTCGTCAGGTAACGTGACAGATAAGTTCTTTTTGGGACAGTAGCTAAGTTCATGTACTGGCGAAACAATTAAATGGTTGAACTTCCCAGTACGAATTGACTGTTGATTGAAAACATGAGTTAAAGTATCCCCTTACACAGCGAAATCAACAGCTTTTCATGTTGGGTGTACCTGCCATAGTGATGCATCATTTGGAGTGTCCTCATTGATAGATATTGTAGATATGCCATATTTCAGACACTCTTTCACCTGGTGAGCTCTTTGTCGCACTCAGTACCTAAAAAGCCAAATTTTGGTCTGACCTGGGTAATCTGGAGGCGTTTCAGCGGCGAAATCGTCATACTGATGGTGTCAGGACGGAGGATAATTGGCAGGATGAGACACAGTGTCTTCCCACAGCCTGTACCTGCTGTTATTACACTGTCGCGGCCGTTGAGTGTTGCAAGAGCAGCCTCCAGTTGAAACTCTCGTGGCACGATCAAAGTTGCTGTAAGGATGTACACAAGCAAGCAAGCACGAAGTGCATCTGTTCTGTCTGTGTTACTGAGTGATTGAATGTAGTCGGTAGGAAGCCGTTCTCCTATCAGCGAGCGAGCGAAGGAATCTAGACTATCTAATGATGCTTGTCGCACTGCTTGAATGACAGCATTCACATCCATTGAAGTTGTAGCGCAGATACATGCATTTGACGCGACGCGTCGCGTCAAATTTCAAAATTTCAAACAATAATTTTAGTATTCACGTCAAAATTTTCAGTTTTCCCATTGGCTACAGATCACGTTACCTGACGAACCCGCGCACTATCCAAATTCAAACCCAGATTTACCAGTCTGTCTAATCGACGGCTTGCCTCATTAGACAGACTGGTCACGAGTCTAAGTCGTAGGCGAGAAGCGGTCTTGGGCACCACTTATGACTTTGTAATGAATAGAATGGTGCAATACGACAATCATGGAGGCTAAGCATACACATTCAAGAACACGTAGTTCCGCGTACCCACTATCACTTGTGCAAGGACAGGCTTTCGGTCAAATCAATTGTGTTTACAGTAGCAAGTCAGTATTCACAACAGGGTTTCAGTTGCTTAATTCCGACTGTAATTTTGCGATGGCGTGTATCTCCATTCTGAGTGGATTGCCCAATCATACCACGAAGAAATGGAAGAAGAGTACTACGTGTCGAAGGAAAGATTACCATATGGCATAAATGTAATTCATAGTAGGTGGTAGGAGGGAAGGACTAGGTAGACTCGTAACCAGTCTTTACTACGTCTGAGATGTTGTTAAGTGTTTGACGTAGTAAGACTGGTCGATCTTGGAGAAATTTGGCAGGCGAAGCGAGGAGTTTGAAATTTGACAGATGCCGGTCGTGCCGCTTTAGGTAATGGTGGTTTGTGTGCAGCGTCGACAACACAAAGTCCTTCATTCACATCGTACAAAGTACTGTATGCCTCTCCAACATCATAGCACATCGAGCAACTGTACTGAATATTGAATAGGGTGATAAAATGATACCATTTAATGCATTCTACCCGCCCATTCCACAATACCAGCCACCTGTTGAACCTTTGCTTTGGACTGTCGACCCTTCGAGCCTGGATCAAGATACAAAAATTGGCTTTGTTTCGTTGAAAGGCTGCTTGTAAAGTCCACTGGTAGATTGTTAATAGCTTCTAGAGCAGCGCACGACAAAGGTGGGACAGAATTGATCAACAAACTCATGGTAGGATATTAACATAGTAGCACACAGTCTAGACGCACTGCTCTACTACTAAAAAGTATCACCGGCACGACCGGCATCTGCTAAAATTCAAACTCCTCGCTTCGCCTGCCAAATTTCTCCGAGATCGACCAGCCTGGCTTCACCACTCGACTTGTCCGTGGTAATATAAGCCAGGCTGGTCACGAGCCTAAGGACTAGGGGCGTGTGAGTGTTGTGCATAAAACATTTGGTCTGATTTCAAGCTGTCATGCGTTAAATGTAATGTCAAGTAACCGTACGAAATATTTTTGCATTTCAAAACGCAAGAGTGACTGCTCGCGGAGAGGGCTGTGTCGCCACGGACAAGACGTAGCATACTGCAGTCTCTCTAAAAATGTAGTTAAGGATCGCAGTATGTAACATCACCGACGACTTACCAGCAAACCACGCACATAAGCTGGATCTTGTAGCTTCATCACATGCTTCCATCGTGGATTGGAACGTTGTGAATGCCTCTCCAATTTTACCCGCCCGCATGAGAGCGCGACATAGTTGCTTGTGGGCGGTGAGCCACAATGACTCAAGATCCCACCCGAAGAGCTGCCAAAAATATGCAGTTCAACATGAAGAAACATCGTTGACTGTATAACACCAACGTACCACGGTAAAATCCCCATACATACGATGAATTGGCGATTTGGAAAAGAAAACGCTAGCCTTGACAGCGGAAGTGAAATGGTTGACAGCTTCAAGCTTACGAGACCAGCTACTCAAGGCAAGGGTGCCTAATTGGACGCGTAGATACGTCTGATGCGAAAAGTGGTATCATCAAAGTCAGCACACACAAAACTGTACTTAATACTCACTTCAACGACACGGCAAGCAAGAAGATCGGTGTCGGGAAAATCAGTGACTAGTTCTTGGACGCGCAGCATTGCCTCATCATGTTTATTTGCATTAAACAGCGCAATAGCCTGTGACTCATAATGAAGCGCGGAGTGTGCAATAAAAGAGCAACATGCCTTGATCAAGAAAAGTAAATGCGTTGTGCTTGCAACACCATCAGCCGATCTGAACGCAAGGTCAAAAACTTTCGTGGCGTCCTGGAACTGCCTTTTCCCGTAGAGGGCAATGCCCTTTGCAATATAGCCTGTTAACGAGGGATTAATGCGTATTGACTATGCCAGGATCAATGTTAGCCTATGTGAAGTGCATGTCGGATGACTTACTTCATTTGCATCTCGAAGTGCAAAGATGGAGTTGTGTGGTTGGGTTGCGATTGATTTGTATAAGGCCGGGACCATTCTAAGGAATCGCACTCCCCGAGTCATATCTCACTATCATGATGTATGAAACCGAAAAAATGCGATACCCAGTGTTCGGTGCGAAGCTGAAGCAGCGTGCATGGTAGATATATTCAAATACTTGCGAGCTACTGAAAGTCGTGTGATGCGCAGAGCGAGACGGTTTAAAGAAGCTTGATCATAATGCGAAGAATGATTCAACGACGGGGGACGAAGCACACCAAATAATTTTCAACCGACACGTTGTGCAATGTCGGAAGCGAGATATGGGAACATGTATGAATATGGAGCATGATGATGGCGAATAGCAAAATGGTGGGGCGATCATGAAGGATGTTGAAGGCACCCGCAAACACGTAGAGTACATCACCAACTTATAAAGAGACAATAATGGGTAGAGATCCGCCTAGCAGTTCAGGAAACGTAAGATTTGACCGTTCTCCCGAGCTCTCCTTGGTCGAGGAGACGATGAGTCGGATCCTATGGATGGACAAGCAAGAACATCTGTTGAGTGGGCCTTGCCTGCAGGAGTGGATCAGCGCCTCTTGTGTGGTGATCGACAAGTCGCGAGTCTCAGCGCACTACCGTTTGACACGACATTCGTCCCATGAGCTCCGATGTGTAACCTTGAGTACAACAGGAAAGTGACAATAAGGCTCACTAATGGAGCAGCTCTTCTCCCACTTTTACTCCATACAAGAAAGATCGCACAGCCCGGCTGTGGAATGCAGACAGTGACTTTTGATAAGACGTCCTGAATCGGATCCCTCGGTTATTCGTGTGTTCAAGTTTAGGAATGAACAGAAGTGTTCGGTAAAATGGAAGTTTGAAATCTGTAAATCAGAAACGGAGGCAAAGGCAAAGGCTGCCGATCAGTAAAATTCTTCTGCAAAATTTTCTTGTTCGACGCGCGAACGTCAAGACGGACCAATAAAAGGACTCGGAAATCACACCCAATAGATGCCAAAGGCAACAACCACAGCCTAATTCGAGGATGAGTGATTTCGATGCTCCCTGAGTCCCCGTATCACACTTCTGTTATAGAAAAGATCGCGCAGTCCAGTTGATCGGATGCAGAGAGAGATGTCTGAACAGAACATCGAGAAAGACCATCAGATTCATTGATTACTCGGGTGTTCAGGGGGACTACTGAAAGTGACTTGTGGTCCGAAGGGTTGAAATTTGTAAATCAAAACGGAGGTAAAGGGCCGCCGTGAAGGTGACAGCTGTACAGCCCATGGTTCTTCATCGCGCCCACAGGCCACTCCTTTGCGGAGTGCTAGCCTGGCGAGCCTTTCGCCTCTGTGCAAGGTAAAACTTTATACCTATAGCAAACAAATGGCAAACCTTGTTTATTGAGATTGCAACCGGTACGTTTTGGATACATGCCAAAGAAAACAAGATACATGATTTGGATTGTAAGAACTTGTTACTTGATTGAACTCAACCGGCGGACTCGGACTTGTCGAAGGTGATTACATAATTGTCGTTGTCACGAACTCGGTCAATTTATGGTTGACTGAACCGTCACGGAGTCTGGCTCCATCAACGAATTCGTTCAACTACTTATCGATTATCAATTGTGGACCTTGACTTGAAATATTTAGCAATGGTATTTTGCTAGTTTAAAAGCTAGCTCAGGTTTGCGTATTCTGATTCTCAACCCACTTTCTTCTCTATCTGAGCCCCCTTAGCCCTCATCATCATGGCCGACAATGCTGACGCCACCGTACGTGACAAGACACCTCCCCGTAACTCTACCTTGTCTGCCGATTCGGAGACTGGGCTCAAGTCCACCCCACTCGCAGTCGGTTCCGCTGTTGTCAGCGAACACATCAGTACTGTTGGCCTTAAGTGCGTCAGCTCTTCCTTCTGTTTTCACCACCATCACTCATATCAGTAAACGTCGCAGAGTCAAGAATGTCCGTCCATGGATCGCGAGGGACGTCCAAAACTTCGAGAAGTGTGAGGCAGATACAATGCTGCAAGAACTCCTTGCAAGATGCACAGGTTACTCTCAAAACCTTTCTGTCAGCGAGAAATCGAAGCTATTCGAAACTTCCCTCAATGCTGTCCTGCCTATCTGCAATGTGGGGGCTGTAGCGCAAGAGATAAAGGGACACTTGACTGATTTGTAAGTCAGTATTTTGAGCGGTGCGAAAGAAGACTGACGCTATTGTCAAGTTGTGATATCAACGGCGAAACATCGACATACGCTTCTTTCGTCAAAGCCGCCAACTGTGCGCTCCGTGAACTAAGCAAGGTGAATGTACAAGGAATACCTGCGTTCAAGGTCGACGACAAGACCAACATTCTACTCCATGTCAATGATACAAAGCCCATATACCAGGACCACCAGGACAAACAGTCCGAACGCAAGCCTGACGTTGTCGTTGTCTCTCATCAAACTGCCCTGGGTACGAAAGCACACGAAACGCAAGAATCCCAGGTTCTTACCGAGACGGCGTGCAAATCGCCCAAAGACAACTTTCAATGGACCGATGTTCGATCGACATTGGAGGTAAAACGCCCCCGGAAGTTTCTGACCCATCCGCCGTCGGTCTATAAGACCGATTACGTCGTTCCTTCTCCTTCTGCGCAGTACATGGAATATAGGAAGGGCACGAACGGCCCTGCTAAGCCAACAGGTTCAACACCTGCTACTGGGTCTACCCAGACCCCCCACGAAGCATCGAATGAGCGTAAGCTGTAGTATGTCCGTTTGCTACTTTCTTACTGACATGTGCGAGGTAGTAAGACCCTCGTCGCAATTGAGCAGAGGAGTCAAGCGCAAGCGAGGCGGCAACAATGAAGATCGGACTGAAGAGGACGAGCCGACGAAACCCCCTCCTATCGTCCAGAACGGCCTCTATGTTGCAGAGATGTTCGCAGCTCATATCGCGCGGCAACACGTCATCTCCTTTATAGTGAACAGTAAGTTGATGGGATACTCTTAACCTGGCGTCAAACTGACAACTCCTTCCAGACGACTGTATTTACGTCTGGTTTTGTGATCGCGAAACCACGATCCAAGGCGCCGCTATCAACTTCGTTCAGGACCTTCCACGCTGGTTGGTCTTGCTTTTCATCATGCAGCGGATGGGATACGAACAATGGGGCCTTAACCGCGTGTTTGAGCCTGAGCCCGGATTTTCGGGCAAGGTGATGATTGAGGATACCCAGATCGACCTTGAGTTGGATGTGAAGTCTAAGGAGCGCGTGACTCATTTCGGTATACGCGGACGTGCAACTACCGTATTTCCGGTAAAGAGCAAGGCACTATCAGATCGGCAGCGGGATCCCCGTTTTCCCAACGAATCTTCTGAACTGGTGGCCAAGCTCTATTGGCCAGAAGAGACGCGTCAGAGCGAGCCAGACATTCTGAACGAGGTCTACAAGATTGCACAAACAGATCCGGATGTGCGAGGCCACGTCCCAGAGCTGGTCTGGTTCCACAAGTTCAAAGAAACATCCACGTCCAAAATCCGAGTCGCACTAGGACTGAAGGACGCAGACCGGGCCGAACAGGGCAGCCGCGTCCTGTACATCATTGTGTTCAGAAAGCTTATCCCAATCACGACGCTTTCTGGCGAGGAGTTCATTGCCGCATGGTGGCAAGTTGTGAAGTGTAAGTTTTTTTTCCGTTCTCCTGCTCTTTATCATTTATCCTCTACTCGACAGGCCATCGCGCCCTCTGGAAGGGAGGCGTGCTTCATCGGGATGTCAGCCCTAGCAATCTCATGGTGTACCGCTTACGCGGTCAATTCATAGGCGTTCTCAACGACTACGACTTATCGTCGTTTAAACGCGATGGTCCCAGGGGCCTCGAGCGTACAGGAACGGTACCATTCATGGCGGCAGACCTTCTCACGCCAGACGGCGTCGCAGGCAAGGTCGAGCATGTGTATGCGCATGATGCTGAATCGTTGATCTGGGTCCTCACCTGGGTCTGTCTTCGGTATGAAGGTGGAAACCTCCTCAGCAAGAACAGACCATTGGAAGAATGGTTGAAAGTGGATGCTTCTATGCCAGCAAGAAAGGCCCAGTTTTGGTCAATAGAGATCAGAAACGTGTGTCCGTCCACATCGCACGCAGAGTCCTGGGATCTTGTAAAGAAGTGCTTTGATGGGATCCACTCGATTTACCTTCCATCAGGGTACCGCAAACTCACCGATGAATCGGCTTTTCAGTTGTTACTTGAGGGGCCTATGCTAGAGCATGAGAGTCGTAGGCGTACTTATAGTTGAGGTAGCGTGCCTCTCTTACAAATCGCTTTGTAGAATCAATAGTCGTAGGTAGACTCGTGACCAGTCTGTCTAATCGACGGCTTGCCTCATTAGACAGACTGGTAAATCTGGGTTTGAATTTGGATAGTGCGCGGGTTCGTCAGGTAACGTGACAGATAAGTTCTTTTTGGGACAGTAGCTAAGTTCATGTACTGGCGAAACAATTAAATGGTTGAACTTCCCAGTACGAATTGACTGTTGATTGAAAACATGAGTTAAAGTATCCCCTTACACAGCGAAATCAACAGCTTTTCATGTTGGGTGTACCTGCCATAGTGATGCATCATTTGGAGTGTCCTCATTGATAGATATTGTAGATATGCCATATTTCAGACACTCTTTCACCTGGTGAGCTCTTTGTCGCACTCAGTACCTAAAAAGCCAAATTTTGGTCTGACCTGGGTAATCTGGAGGCGTTTCAGCGGCGAAATCGTCATACTGATGGTGTCAGGACGGAGGATAATTGGCAGGATGAGACACAGTGTCTTCCCACAGCCTGTACCTGCTGTTATTACACTGTCGCGGCCGTTGAGTGTTGCAAGAGCAGCCTCCAGTTGAAACTCTCGTGGCACGATCAAAGTTGCTGTAAGGATGTACACAAGCAAGCAAGCACGAAGTGCATCTGTTCTGTCTGTGTTACTGAGTGATTGAATGTAGTCGGTAGGAAGCCGTTCTCCTATCAGCGAGCGAGCGAAGGAATCTAGACTATCTAAT